CCGCTTGAAATTGTTTCAGTGTATAACTATTTAGGTGTACATCTTTCAAGCTCTGGTTCATGGTTTAATACAGAGAAAACTCTAACACTCCAGGCCAATAAAGTTGTGCAGTCACTAAAAACAAACATTATCGATTTTCATAAGTTACCTTTACATGTTTTGACTCATTTATTTGATGTCAAGCTTCTACCAATCTTCTTGTATGGTAGTGAAGTTTGGGGGTTTCATCCTTCACCTGACATTAATACATTCCATGACAATTTCTGTAAACAGCTTTAACATTTAAGATGGAGTACACCTAATATTGTTGCAAGGGGGGAGATAGGTCGTTATTCACTTAAAGTAAACCAATATATGAAAATTATTAAATATTGGACTAGATTGTTATTTCAAACTGATAATCCTATTTTGAAAAATGTCGATGATTAGCAAGTGTCCTTGGCGGATAAAGGTATTGAATGTTGGGCTTTTCATGTAAAACAATTATTACCATCATATGGTTTTGGTTCTGTCTGGTGTAATCAAGATGTTCCAAATGTAAATAAGTTTATTGTTTGTTTTAAGCAAAGATGTATGGATAAAGATCAGCAAACTTGGTTAAGTAAATTAAAAACACATTCCAAACTTACAATGTATTCAGGAATTAAACCATGCATTGTATTAGAAAGATATTTAACATCAATACCTGTTAGAGTATATCAATTTGCTCTTAGTTCTTTCCGTTGTTCTAGCCATAACCTAATGCTTGAAGAAGGTCGAAAAATTGGTCTTTCTAGAGATGAACGCTTATGTCCATTTTGTGTAGTCCGTGTAATTGAAACTGAGTATCATTTCTGCATTGAATGTCAATTTTACTCAGATCTGAGAAATAGTTTTATACCTAAGTACTACCATTCACAACCTTCATTTGATAAATTTTGCATTCTTATGTCTTGCCAAAATGAACATGTTATTAATAAATTAGCTAAATATATTTTTCTTGCTTTTAAGAAACGACAACAGTTTTTTAAATGTATGCAATAATTCAATTGTTTCACTATGTATATTACTTATATTATCTGGCGCCTGCTACTGTTATAATCCACTGAATCCGTATTGTATAATGGGCCGGTGGCCTCTTTACTGAAATAAACTCACTCACTAACCAACAACAGTACTCTTGAACACAAATAGGAACATGTAAGGTGATCTGTTCACATATAAATACATAGTTAATTCTATACTAGCAGTATTGACAAACAAATACCGAATTGCATTTGTGATAAAGTAAATTGTGAATTTATCTAGAAACCACCACATTTAACACGACCCCAGAAGACAATTTAACATTAACTTGCAAGTGACTTGAGGGACATAGGTTTCAACTAAGATTATTGGCACGATCTATTGGCATTGGCATATCTCAGTCATGATCAAAGGGTAAAACAAATCGTCGTTGGTAAAATAAAGGGCATTACATGCCGTAATATTAACTATTCGTGTTTCATAAATAATATACAAGATCGAAAGTGTCCTGTAATCGTATTTTGTTTGAATGTATATGTTTAAATATCTAATGAACTCCATGTCTGAATGTCAATCTACCTACTATTTGCATTTAAATGTATGTTGTTTCATGCATAAGTAAAACTTGTGACTTCACATGTGATTTGTAAAATGAAATATATATTATCTAGTGTTATGTCCTATAAGTATGTAGTTTCTGGAGCAATAAAAAAATATTTCTTTTTACTAAGTAACAGTCATAATGTCAACGGGTAATTGTGTTGATTAAAGCTTTGAACTTGTGACATATTTAAGTCTTTGGATGGCATTTAGAAGTGATACACATAAGGAAGTGAAGTAGATGGTGGTGGATCTGGTTGGATCTGGGTGGATTTGTATAGGGCAAGTAATGGGGGGAACGCATGTGCATTTCAATTTGCACGGAACTCTCGTGCATCGGGTCACCACGGCAGTGCGTTTGGGCGATAGGTTTTATTGTCATCTGCTGTGTTTTGTTTTATCATCAAATTTCATTTTTCCAGACAAGGTAATGTTAAATTTTAGAAACTTTAAAAAAAAACCTAGCCAGATATTTAAATGACAACTTTTCATGCAATGTTACTTAGGGTGACGATTCTCTTGCGGTTCAATATAAATATAAAGCCTACAGTTTGGAATTACTTAGCTTGTCGAAAATGACAATCATCTTTATACACATATTGTCAATAGCATATCATGTTGGCACATTGATACATCTTTTGTCTTAACTACAGCAGTTACGTCATGATCACTTAAAACGAGGATTTGTTTTATCTTTCAGTCATCGCTAAAACAACACTTTGACAAGCCCTTGGACGATTGCAAGCTGGACAAACCACCCGGCAAGTAGCCAATGCATTTCAAGTCCACGTAAGGACCATATACAGATCCAGCGACGGTACCAGACCACCAACACTACAGATGACCGACCACGTAGTGGAAGACCAAAGGTCACCAGCCGACGTCAGGACCGTCAGATTGTGCGACAGCATCTTAAAGATTGCTCTGTTACTGCTGCGGAAACTGCTCGACAGACCAAGGGAACGCACCAGCAAAACATTAGTGCGGACACCGTGCGTCGACGATTGACGAGCAGACACCTCCACTGTCACAGGCCACACCGAGGACCCATTCTGGCACCACGTCGTCACTGGGACCGTCTTCAGTGGGCAACACAGCAAAAGCGTTGGCACCAGCAGCAGTGGAGAAGAGTCCTTTTCTAAGACGAAAGCCGTTACTGCATCTCAACAGCAGATGGCAGAGAGAGAGAGAGAGAGAGAGAGTATGGCGACGCCGTGGGGAACGTTATTCGGATGCTTGTGTTGTTGAGAGAGACTCGAACACACGTAATACTGACTTGTGATGCCATTTTCTCAGAGACCAGTGTTGTGTTTCACTTTAAGACCCCTCTGACACTTTAATTTTAACCTTGATGACCAGTTTTGACACGTTTCAACGTTTTAATATGTCTCAAAGTATGTTTACAGTGTTTGGACAAATAAGGTGTTTCATATATCTATCCATGGTGACGTTTCGTTTGCGGTTATATATACTGAACCAAATTAAAAACTTCACGATCCTAAAATTTTAACATTTTGACCAGTTATCATTGTGGGCCCTTATTGTGCCCTTCAGATAACACCCGTATTTGTGCACATGCAGAGGATCGTCAGATTGTCTTACGTCACCTCCGTAACCGGTTTTTGACGGCTACTTAACCAGAAATGAACTGTTTAGGGGTAGACTGAGTGCGCAAACTGTTCGAAACCGTCTGAGAACTGCTCACCTTCAAGCACGACGGCCATACTGCGGGCTGATTCTGACTCAATTACACAGACGTCAACGTCAATTGTGGGCACAGCGACACTTACGGATTCAGTTTATTTTCTCAAAGAAACCACCACCGGTGGTACATGAGCGTTTACAGCTATATATATATACATATGAAAATACAAAAAGATATCAACATGACAAGTGACAGGGTCATAGACATACAATATATCTGGACAAATTTCTTATATCTTTTAGCCTTTTGGGTGAAACAGTTTTACAGAGTTTAAAAATATTTGGCCACAAGTAGTTTTTTTGGGGAATATACCGAATTCTTTGTTGGAGTAGAGCTTCGCATCTGAAAAGATAGTGAAACTCATCGCCAACCGAGAGTGAATCACAAAGTTGACAAAGTCTATCTTCTCTTGGTATATTGGTATACGATGGACTCAGAGGAATTGGAATCAAGTCGTCTTCAGTGATGAATCCCGATTTAATCTTCGATTTGCTGATGGTAGGCCTTTTATGGCAGCACATCGACCCGGTTTGATCTTCCAACACGACAATGCCAGACCCCACATAGCAATTTTGACAAGGAATTTCCTTCAGAAGGCGGGAGTCAACGTCATGGACTGGCCGTCAAGGTCTCCCGACCTCAATCCCATCGAACACGTCTGGGATGCTCTTGGCAGAAGTCTGCGCACTCTCCAGAACAAACCACATATTTTGCAAGATCTTGGCACCATTTTGCAGCAACAATGGCGTCGTCTTCCAAATCATGTGTTCACAAGCATCACAAGGTCCATGCGGAGGCGTTGCGTGGCAGTTGTCAACGCACATGGTGGCCATACACGCTACTGAACTTGTGTGCCATCAGATTCTCGTGCTTGGGACTTATGATTTAAACTGTTGATGTTATTACCGAATACCGTAGGTGCTTGGAACAAATAATGGTTACCACCGTTAATTAAAATTCTTCTTTGGACATTAATGATTAAAAATTACCTTCTCTGATACATTTGTCCGTTGTATGTCATATATGGGATTACTTTTAAAAATCTGAAGTTTTTAATTTATCTCAGCATAGTCATAAATATATATATGAAACAAACAAGAAATTGTTATTTGATGCTGATGGGCCTCAGTGCTTTGGGCCTTAGTTTTGCAGTGCCTCGGCAACAGTTTTCAACCTTCTAACGTGTTTATAACGTTTGTGATTTTTGGTCAAATCTTATTTCCTTGCGTAACATTTCTTTTGTTCGGCCTTGTAAGTACCCATGGTCTGTTGTATGGTGGCCTTACCTATTGTTGCTGGCGATATATAGCCCCGTATTTACAGTTGTACAGCTGGCTTAGAGTCAGATATTTGTAATGTTAATCTACATCTTATTTTAAGTCAATCTGTGATATATTGCTAGCTATTATTCTGTTCTTGAGTGTCAATATTTTTACAAACATACAGTATTAAAAAATATCTATTGCTCAAATTGTTCAAGATAATATGGTTGAAATATCGCCGAGGTGACTTAAATTTAAACACTTTTGCCCGGCGGTACATATTATATGGCATGTCAGTGTGTGATGATTAGTACGCCTTTAATGTACAACGTACCATAACCTCGTCAATCATCAACTGTGAGATATATGAAGGTGCAATCTGATCTCTTGCATGTACAACTATATCAGTGAAAAAAAGGTTAAGGTTGATGTGGGCTATAAAAGTAGAGACATATTTATCATCAGTCACCGGGGAACAGTAGCTGAAAGCTGGTAAGTGATCTGTCGTATACTTACTGGTAGTCTGACATGACGCATGTTATATGCAAGTTATAAGAGCACAAGACTCGCACTTATTAGCAGTTTTGGCTAATTTTAGCTAAAATAACTTTACATAATGTGTTTGTCTGCAAACTCACGTGTTATGATGTATATCAATATCACTCAGAATGTGTCAATTTTAAAGCATACTGATGTTTAATGGTGCTTGTGAAAGAATATTCAAAATAAGGAATTCGAATTTTGTTTTTCAGAGGCAATCGCCAAAAGATTGGATTATTAATATGTTCCAGTAGATACGTATAGCAGATTTTAAAGAGATAGACAAATTGAATTGGGACTTGAGCCCAATGTACATAAATGACATCAAGTTACCTTAGCCCTGTTATGAACACCTTTATTGGTCGATTAATAAAATTATATAGTGATGTAGAGTTATCATACATGTCCAGATATCAAGCTTGTTCATGATCACAATTACCTTTTTCTGGTAGTATTTATGTAGCCAAAGTATTGACCATTTGAAAAGATAAAGGATTTTAATATACTTTTATGTACAGTTCTCAGTAACATACAAGGAGACCTAGCCATATATCCCAACCGTAACATGAATATTGCAATTTGTTGCAATTTTACCAGTGAATATCCTGAATATTATGCTTGTGAGAATAAGGAGTGTAAGGACTTGTACTTATAGCAGATTCTACAATAAGATTACAGAGAACATTAGATTGTTTGCACCGATGCTGTATTAAGCGGGGAATAGAAATCAATGATGATAGAGCACAGAAAATGGTATTTTGGAAATATGAGAAGTGGTCATATAACGGAAAGGAAATTAAAGTTACTCTTTCATAACTGGGCAGCAAAGCTCTTACACCGATTAAAACGTTAATTAAAACTTAAACACAACGTAACTGCAAGAAATGCTTTCGAAATGTTTGATAAGGACATTGTACCGATTTTGACTTATGAAGTGAGATATGGGGTTTTACGCAAACAGCAAATATCGCATTTGTCCACAGAAAGTTCTGTTAGATTGTATAAGTACTAGTTTCCAGTTATCAAATCTTGTCACCGATGGTGATTGTGGGAGAGTCCCATTATACATTACCCTTCATATGAATTGCATCCGATGTTGTCTTCGTCTTATTTCAATGCCACGTGACGGGTATCTTTTTCAATGCTATCATTTTTTCGAACAAGCCTGCTTCACACAATTTTCTTTTCCTATGTGGTTTTGGCTAAGTATAGATCGCTTAACATGTTGGAAACATATCTCTATTTCTTTACCCCGCCGTTATATTGCTGGAATATTGCTAAAAGCGGCGGAAAACCATACTCACTCACTCACTCTATTTCTTTACGTCTTAAAGTGAGTGAATTGGGTTTAACGCCGCTTTTAACATTATTCAAGTTATGTCACGGTGTTAAAGCTTAATGAGGGATGCACGTTTACCACGAAACTCACGAGCACGAGTAAGGTGCTGACAAAACAAGAAACATCATCGGGGCGAACCGGAATTCATACCCACAATCACAAGTTTCTGGCGTGTCCAAGGGACGCAACTCTGCACAGCGAATCGCGGCGCCTCGGACGACTGGGCCACCCGTGCCCCCTTGACGTCTTTAAGAAAAATCATTGATTGATTGTTATAAACAAGACTGGCATTACAAACTAAATAGCCCAACGTTAACATTCTATTCTACTCTAAAAAGAGACGGCTATATATGTGACATGAGGTAATTATTTACAAGAAGGCACAGCTTAAATTTCGAAGTGTGTATAATGCATTAGGCATTGAGAAACTAGGAAAGGTTGAAGTTCTGTATAGAAGAAGGACATTAAATATTGAATTAAATGCTCTTACAAGATGAAGAAAATGTACTATTGCAGTGTCCCTGGTCTAATGATAAACGATATTTGTTTTATATCAAATATTATCAATCGTCATGACATGAGATCCATTTATTCAAATGATGAGAAATCAATATCAACGCTTGCTAAATTTTGGATTCATGTTCCAGATTCATGAAGACATTGACCAATAAGTTATACCAGCGCACATGTGTTCAATGAAATATATACGTAAATGGGCCTGTTGGTTTTAAGAGCAATAACAGATTGTCATTGTCTTTGTCACAACTCAAACTGTATGAACCAAATGTGTGTATCTTTGTCTCACATGCCTGCTGGCAAATGTTACAACGGGGTAGGTGAGAAGATCGAAAGTAGAGTTGGGTCCCCAGAACTTGTTGTAGTGAGTGAGTGAGTGAGTCAGTGAGTCAGTGAGTGAGTTAAAATTTAAAAAGTTCCATATTCAAAATAGATATTTTTAGACTCTATAAAAACCTGTCGTCGACGGACAGTAAATAACTAGATTTATCACAGCTGTTATTTAAAACCAGTTGATAAACATAAAAATATAACACCATACGTAACAATACAAGATAAAAATGAACCATAGATCGCCAGCTACTGAAGGTAGATCACCATACTGGAGTCCATGATTGCTTGTTGTGACAGGCAGCTGAAAAAGATCGGGTGGTCAGTCTTGTTGATTGCACCTTAAACCAACTACTCGTGTATCAGACCCATAGTTGATTATATACAGACTGCCTTGGTAGAGTTTCCCATCAAAGACCATAGTTACAGTATGGGATACGTACCTAAATACTGAAATTATGTAAGCCCGAATATTGCACTTTGTTTTGATCATCCTGTTATAAATAGAATAACGTCCTCAAAATTTGTCAGAATGTTGTTAAAGGGCAAGTTCACACGGAAATGAACCAATTTTTCTTGTACTTTTTCCACATTAAAAGTGTTAACATAGAAGTGTCATAGACAAAAATATAAAAACATCATATTTAATTAACATATTTTTTGCATTAAAACGATTTATATTTTTCACATTTACCAAGTGTTCTATTTCCATAACAAAAACACCATGGCTTATGCCCCTTGCAATATGACGTCATTGGTGCCAATTGATAAACATTATGACGTCATCATGCTTTGTTAGAGCCGCTTCACGTGGTGTAGGTACAGTTTTGTGATTCTAGCGTCTCAGATGCCAGCCAGAATTGTGTTATGCTGAGTCACTACTGCGCCGGAGTGTGTCGTAGACCATGTTGTTTGACCGCAAACTGGTCCTTGATATCTTTTGCGTTGAGAATAGACAGGGACCCAGTTGAATTGGCACCAATTACGTCATAATCTAAGGGGGATAACTCAGGCCTATTTCGCTCGTCAAACGAAGGCCTCATAACGGCATATCATTTTAACACTATTGTGAGCTTCCTACTTTCACTGTGAAAAAAAATGAGTGTATATTTTCAAACACAGATACTAATTAATTCTAAAATTGCGTTTTGTTTAGAAAAAGAAAGAAAGTGATTTTTGCGTGTACACTTCCCCTTTAATGACAACAATTTCACTCGGAAAGATGATGTACGGATAAACGTAATTTAAGTAGACATTCAACTGAAAGACGCCCATAAGTTATCAAGTTGTATCTTTGTTTCAGAAAACGTCAGGATGAGGAACATTCTCATTATTGCGTTGGCTGTTGTGGTATTGGGCGTTGCACAGGCCACATACCCACCCCGATACGAGCCCCGCAACTACTACCCCAACCCTTACCCCAATCCTTACCCAAACCCTTACCCAAACCCTTACCCAAACCCTTACCCCCATCGCTACCCTCCTTACCCTTACCCTTACCCCCGTGGTCGCCTCCCTCCCGTTAAAGTTATAGTGAATACCGACCAACACATGGTAAACAACAACCAAGGAGGGAACGGGGCACCAGGTTCTGGCAGACAAACTTCTTTTGGTTACAGTGATGCCGACGTGTCTTTTGTTGGTGGCCATGGACCATTTACTTTGAGTCACCCCAAATCAGTCAAGAAGACAACTGGCTTTTACACCAGTGCGGCCCTTTAGGTATGTCATTTACTGTAGATCGTCCTGGGAAATTTGCTGAGCATTTTATCAGCTATAGCTTAATGTTAGCGCACAGTACCTTATATACCTTTTATCCATAACTGATGACGTCATAGCTGTTTTGATCTGACAACGTTAGAACAATGGCATGATTGTGCCCGTATCTATTTCTTAAAGCTAAACCCGGATTTTATGTATTTTCATTGATGAAAATGGTAAATATGACCTCAGTGTTACGGAACATCTCTACCTGGGAAACCATGCTCGGCATAAATAACGTTAAATCACTTGAGACAGATTAACCATAATTCCTCGTTGGGCGAGGATATCAGCAAACGAACTGAATTATTAACAACTCCGGTAGAATATATGAATAAATTTATTTTAACAAAAGAAAGAAGAGTGTAACTATATTTGCATACAAACTTGCTACCTTTTGTTTCCGTCGTCAACCAATTCTCTAAAGGTAAACAATGTTATAACTATGTTGAATAATAATTGTTCTGAAAAGACATAAACGAGTTTTGAAAACATAGTCTTCCATGTATCTTTGCTTTATTGATTGACAGTGCATGAGAAAAAAGTTACTCTTCTAAGGGTCAATATGACACACATAATCTCCAGATAGTGATTTCTTAATTACATATATGAAAAGCTATAAATTTAACACGGGCCACAATGAGCAAGGGTATGGTGTTGAGAATCCAACAAACACTATCGGCGCGAACGGGGATTCGAACCCATGATCATAAGTTTTTAGCGTGCCCAAAGGACGCAACTCTGCACAGCAAATGGCGGCGCCTTGGACGACTGGGCCACCCGTTCCATCTCTTTTGTCAGAAGGTGTATAGTGACCACTAAACATAGCTGAAAGTGTATGAAATTTTATTTATCAATTCTCAAAGTATCTGAAGCTATGAACTTGAGATTTCAAACGAGTGAAAAACATTTCTACAGGGACTACTATCAATCTACCTCAATAACATTATGAATTGCAGAATAAAATCATGAAGATCAGTACAAAAATACATAGCATACAGAGTGTTTGTCTTTTCATATCTCATCTCATCTTGTGACATGAAGAATTCACTCGTATCTACATAACTCATGCAAATATCAATTCGACATGTCAGATCGATGATATCATTGTCATTTGATAATATACAAATATCCACTATTTAATTTCGTCATTTTTTACTTTTCAGACCAAGTGGAGACCGACGGTGTCACAAAACCTCGAGTATGTGAGTACACCGTGACACAATAAATCATGGTGACATTAAATCAGCTTACTGCGTTTGATTTCAAGACTACTATTTACAATATGAATCTTCACCTTCACTGATAGTAATTTCCAACAGGGTTTGTTGGTTTGTTGTTTAACGCCACACTCAGCAATATCCTAGCTATATGACGCCGGTCTGTAAATAATCAAGCCTGGACCACACAATCCAGTGATTAATATCATAAGCATCGATCCACGCAATTGGGATCGATGACATGCATCAACAAAGTCAGCGAGCCTGACCACCCGATCCCGTTAGTCGCCTCTTACGACAAGCATAGTCACTTCCAACAGGGCATCTGACCAAAGCAGTCAACTCATACAGAGACAACAAAAATCACTCGTTGGAGCAAAAAGTAGCAATTTTAATGGAAACCTTTATTTGAAAGAGCAAATGAACTCCATTAGGAACTGAGTCAGTGGTTTCAAATCATATTAACATACTTGAACATTAACAAACCAGCAAATTGGATAGCTACATCACCATGGATCTGCTTTGATCCTGTTTGGTCTATTTTTGAATAATGCTTTGGAAAACACAGACACAAATCACCAAAACACTCGCATAAACGCACCTCACTTCAAACCTTACCAGCATGGCAAATGATTAGTTCTTCACTAATGGCTCAAGAATACAGAGTAATGATTTATTTTTGGTTGGACCCCACATTCAGCAATATTCCAGCTAAATGACGGCGGTGTGGAGATAATTGAGTCAGTGCCAGACAATCCAGCGATTGACATGAGGAGCATTGATGATATGCGCAAATGAGATACAATGACATGCATCAAGTCAGCGAGTCCGATCACCCGATGCTCTTACGACAAAAATAAGTTGCCGGAATCCTCACGGGAATCATGTCACTAATAGCAATATCTTGGCCTGTAAATAATTATAATTATACTAATTACATAGACAATATGGCTCGGTTTCACGCATGGTACTTATTACAACGCGTAGGCTTGGATTCGAATTGGGCTCCATACCTTGGCGTATTGGGACACTTCAGAGGAGATTTTAAAAACTGACTTGCGGCATTAATAACCACTGAGTTTGTATCAAAGCGACGTGTAATTATCCCCCGCCCTAACGAAGTTGGCGGGGGATATAGAAATGGGTCTCGTCCGTGTGTGTGTGTGTGTGTGTGTGTGTGTGTGTGTGTGCGTGTGTGCGTCCCGATATCGTTTCCGGAGCATAACTCAGAAACCGTTAAATATTTCTCTACGAAACTTTGCATGTCTATCAGACTCATGCTGAACTGGTGCCTTTTGCTATTTAGGAATTTTATAAATTTATATTTTTTACGTTTCCATGGCAACAAGTTGGACTTAGGTTCTATAAGGGTGGTGTTCGTTTCCAGAGCATAACTCAAAAACTGTTAAATCCTTTCTTACAAAACTTTGCATGTCTACTAGGCACATACTGAACTGGTGCCTTTTACTATTTAGGAATTTCATAAATTTTTATTTTTTACGTAACCATTGCAACAAGTTGGACTTAGGTTCTATAGGGTAGAGTTTCTTTCCGGAGCATAACTCAAAACCCATTCAATACTTTCCAACAAAAACTGTGCATGTTTACCAGACACATACTTGACTGGTGCCTCTTGCTATTTAGGAATTTTAGAAATTTTTATTTTTCACATTTCCATGGCAATAAGTTGGACTTAGGTTCTACAGGGGTGGTGTTCGTTTCCAGAGTGTAACTCAAAAACCGTTAAATACTTTCTTACAAAACTTTGCATGTCTACCAGGCTCGTACTGAACTTGTGCCTTTTGATATATAGCACTTTTAGAATTTTTTATTGTTTATGTTTCCATGACAACAAGTTGGATTTAAGTTTTAATATAGGATTGGTTTACTTAAGTAGTATAACAAATAAACTGTTAAATATTTCCTTGCCAAACATTGCATGTCTATAAATAAAGCGCATACTGAACTAGTGCCATTTGATATTAAGGAGTTTTAGAAATGTTTATTTTAGAATTTCCATTGCAGCTATTTTGACATGGGCTAAGAGAAATGTTGGGTCAGTTACCTGGTTTGGGACCATAACGTGTTAAAATGGGCGGGGGATATAGATCACTTTGTCAACTATACGCTTGTTCTGTATTGATTGTAGCCAGATGATTACAACTCTCATATCGATCCCACATTGCAGCTCCAGCCTTTGGTGTTTACATTTCACAACTTTTGAGATACAATTGAGCATGCTCTTGTTTGTTTGGTTGGTTTTTTTCGTCGCCGCACTCGTCAGTGTTACTCTGTCTGTACATTAGCAGTACACGGGTCAGAATGTAGGGAAACCACCATCGTTTCAGCTGACCTACCAAACCAAATTCGTATTGTATACATAAGTGATTGATTGTAAAGGATTGTAAAGTGTTCATATTGTGAGTCAGGGATACCTGCATGCAGAAATAATACCAGCCGTTCAAATAAAACGACAACGCCACAGGAAAGTCAGACTGGGTTATTTGCTGAAGCAGTCCACTGGGCATAATAAGCAAAATGTGATGGATATTATGTAAAAAAATAATAGATAACTAAATCAGTGATGACACAGGTGTTCGCGGATAGAGTCAGAATGTCCTGCTTTACCTGTAGCATAAAAAGGTAAATGTGTACATGTTGCCAAACGGCACCCCCAGCAATACATCTTAGTCAATACTCCCACAATGTTTTGTTGTTTAACGCCGCACTCAGCAATATCCCAGCTATATGACGGCGGTATGTAAATAATCGAGTCTGGACCAGAAAATCCAATGATTGACATCATGCGCATCGATCCACGCAATTGGGATACAATAACATGCATCAGCCAAGCCAACGAGCCTGACCATCCGATCCCGTTAGTAGCTTTTAGCAGCAAGCATGGGTTGCTTAAGACCTATTCCAACCCGGATCTTCTAACTGAATTTGTCAAAGTGCATCATACGACTATTGCTCAGAAGTTGTTTGATCAAGGTTACAATAGTTATGGCCTCGATAAAGCTGTCAAAGGGTTTTGTGGTAGGCAGTTGGAGGCCATTTCAACCTCTGACGCATCGGTGACAGATATGAAAGCCAATAAATCCCCTGTTTTAGCTTGTGCCGTGCGTTCCCGAAGTTTTTTGTTGACTTGCCGTTGAATCTGTTTGTTGCGGGGTACCACCGGTGGGCAGGATACGCTCACCTTTTCGCGTACACCTGGTATGATAACTGTTTGATAGTGATTTATAGTTATAAGCTCATGATATAGTCGGTATCGTGCAGTCGACTCTGCTTTTGGCAGAGATTTCTCATGCATATAGAAAGGGATTTGTCGCATTTATTCACAACCAGACATGTCAAACATTGTAACTGGACCCGTGGAGATTCCATTAAGTTATCCAGGAAAAGTATTTTGTCCATCGATATAAATCCAGCCAGGGCCCATGCAGGAAGTAAAGGCACTGTAAGTCCCCATGGTCCCTGGTATGGTGATCTCCCTTTAGTTACTGACGATCTCTAGCCCATTTTTATATTGTGTTGTTAATTCTTTCTGCTTTTATATGTTCCTCAAATAGTTTTAATACACTCTGTGATATTCTGGTTATTGTACTGTCCTTTGAATACAGGTTTTTATAAAGTATATATACTTATATGTTATTAATGTATTAATTCCCGTCACGATATGGCTGAAATATTGCCGATGTGACGTTAAATATTAACTCACTCACTCACTCACTCACTCACTATTTCGTCCATCCTACACTAGATAAATACTTTAATGTGTGACTATGATCAAACTACAATTAGAAATATTGCACTGTATTTGTGTTATGCCTTTACTTATCGTGAATCTGTATTTGATGCTGTATACCATTAAATCTACCATGGGCCGTTGGCCAACACGTGTACGATTAATAAAGACATAAAGATAAGTTATGCTTGTTGTAAGAAGCGACTAAAATGGACCTGGTGGTCAGGTCATGTGACCGTGTGAATCAATACTCAGTTTATTCATATATATTTCCATAAAGCATATTACCTTACGAAACTCGAACAAGCTACCGTGATATCGCCTGGGGTATAGTTATCCCATACTTAATTAATACAATGCATTATGGTCCGCCTCACTCACTCACCAACAGATTTACCACACGCAACAAATGTTATTTGTGGGCAGAATTAATAGCCAGTTTTGCTAGTTAATTACATTCAATGTACTGCATCGCTAAGACCTAAACCAAACGTACCTTGTCCTTCCAAGATAAGAATGCAAATTATTGATATTCACAAAAGTATACGTTGTTGAGTCGACACTGATAGCAAGCCAGTTTTCTCAGTTCCAGAGTCAAATAACTATCACAAAACTAACCATAACTTATATGGATGTAATTTAACATGGTAAACGAAAATCAAAATTGTGTAGATATGTCTGTATAAATAAAGATCAAGTTTGATGGTCACCGAAGCTGTTCATTATCACGTTCGTATATTATGGGATGGAAAGAGGCACGTATTGAAATGGGACAATATACCTTTCTTCTTTAAATAATTCCTTCCTGTGTTTCAAAATATATAGAGAATGTCACCCTCGTGTCTTTTGATATGAATATATCAACACGATTTGATAAAAGTGGGAAAACTCCGAGGCTTGCCGAGTTTTTTTTTCCACTTTTATCAACGAGTGTTGATATATTTTATATCAAAAGACACGAGGGTGATATTTTATTTATCATCAAACATCATTCTTCAAACCTTTTTTGTTTGTAGAAAGTAATAAGCAGTGTCTTAAGTGTAAAAAGTACTGCTTACAGGTTCAGTAGCAGAACCATTAGTGATGTCATTTGATTGTGACGTCATGGTAACCAATGACGTCACAATGGTCTGCAAAGCATTGTGATGCAATTTCATTGCAGCAATATCTACAGTGTAGATATCGCTTCATCTCACCCAAGCGATATCTCCTGTGGAAGCCGGTTTTGGATGAAAAAGTGAAATACCATCATTCCGGATGTAACTGATGGTGGTAAAGTCTTCCATATTAAGATAAACCAGATTTAAAAATCACTAGTCCAAGATAAATTGTTTGTAATGCTGGGTATGTGGAGGACGAGTATCATTTTTGTTAGTTTGCTCCGGTTATAACAAGCAACCATTGCTTGACACCGGTATACGGATCTATCACGAAACGTCGCCATTACACACAAAATAAAGAAGTTGTTATCCACAAAATGTGTCTACTTTGTGGTCCAAGATACTAACACGTCATAAATACACCAGTGTTTCCTAAGGGTTTGCACTGTACATTTATCCTGACGGTATTTTGCATGAATCAAAAGGAATAAAAATCCTTTAATGAGTAGAAAAGCGCAATAATTCATACCTACTGGTGATTTATCAAGTCGTCACGAACCAACGTCACATTTAACATGAACTGGTTAAAAAAAGTAAAGGAAACATCAACGGGCGTCTCCTTTAATTTTTGTCACTTATGATTTGTGAGGTTTTAAAAAGACTCGCTGTTGCTATATAACAGAACGGCATGGTTCAATATATGTCACTAATATACTTGTCTGGAAGCAGGTAAGTGGTTTATGTCTGTCGTGGAGATTCATAGGTGAGGTGGGGTGAAATGGGGTTTAACGTCGCGTCCAAGATTATTGCACTTATATAGCGACGTGCATGTACGTGTGTGTGTGTGGCTGCTTGTACTAGTCCGGACTGATGCCGATTTATGGTGATAGCTCATTGAGATACCATGCCGCAGTTTAACATGAATACCCCACTCAGACACAGTATACTGACTTCGAGCCGACCAGTCCTTGTTTTAGCCCCTTAAGGCCGAACGCCAGACAGGGTAACAACAAGTACCATCTTTTAGCGTCTTTTGGTATGACGCGGTCGGGGATCGAACCCCGGACCTTCCGCTCTACCACAAGACCACGGAGGCGGTCCGTGGAGATTCATAGCAGCGTTGAGTAGAATAAGACTTAGTACCACAATTATGGATGGGTGTATTCCCATTTACTGCATATGTAGTGAGTGAGTTAAAATGTAACCTCACATCGTCAAGATTTTATTTAAAACTAGAAGGGAACCATGAAAAATATCACATCATACGTAGCAATACAAGATAAAAATGAGCTATAGATCGCCAGCCACTGAAAAGGTAGATGGGGACCATGGGGACCGGCATGGACCCCAGCAGGATTTACACCATCCCTTTACTGCATATGTAGGTGGACTGTACGCAACCTGCTGCTTAAAACGTCCACACTAGAGCTTGATATTATATATTTTAGATATTTTTAAACAGCGTAACTGTCTACTGCTAGATTGATTATATTAAAAATTAAATGTCAATGCCAGAGAATAACCATCCGACGGAACAGATGACACGTCGTTAACAGTACTGTACCACTGTATCTAGTATAACTTTCACACGAGCCTAGTACTCAACAGTACTGTAACACTATCGAGTATGTCGACACGAGCCTAGTACTCAGTTAATGGTACTGTACTACTGTATCTTGTATAATGTTGCCAAGAGCCTAGTACTCAGTTAAAAGTACTGTAACACTGTATCTTGTATAATGTTGCCAAGAGCCTAGTACTCAGTTAATAGTACTGTAACACTGTATCTTGTATACTGTTGACAAGAGCCTGGTACTCGGTTAATATTTCTGTACCACTGTATCCAGTTCATTGTTGACACGAGTCTTGTACTCTGTTAACTGTACTGTACCACTATATCCAGTTCATTGTTGACAAGAGCCTTGTACTCTGTTAACTGTACTGTACCACTGTATCCAGTTCATTGTTGACACGAGCCTTGTACTCTGTTAACTGTACTGTACCACTATATCCAGTTCATTGTTGACACGAGCCTTGTACTCTGTTAACTGTACTGTACCACTGTATTTAGTTCATTGTTGACACGAGCCTTGTTCTCTGTTAACTGTACTGTACCACTATATCCAGTTCATTGTTGACACGAGCCTTGTACTCTGTTAACTGTACTGTACCACTGTATCCAGTTCATTGTTGACACGAGCCTTGTACTCTGTTAACTGTACTGTACCACTGTATCCAGTTCATTGTTGACACGAGCCTTGTACTCTGTTAACTGTACTGTACCACTATATCCAGTTCATTGTTGACACGAGCCTTGTACTCTGTTAACTGTACTGTACCAATATATCCTGTTCATTGTTGACACGAGCCTTGTACTCTGTTAACTGTACTGTACCACTATATCCAGTTCATTGTTGACACGAGCCTTGTACTCTTTTAACTGTACTGTACCACTGTATCTAGTTCAATGGTGACCATGGTGGCCACTGTAAACGAAACATTCGTACATTTACGTTTACGGTAGTCGACCGCAGTGGAATCGCTCCTCATCAACCTATGCTCGTTGTAAGATTATACCAAATGGATCGGTAGGATAGACTCAGTGACTTATTGATTGTCTGTCACCGTACCCAGACGAGGGGGGACATTGCCCAATGAAAGTTCAGAACAGGATACATACCGATTCCACAGAATATGAAATATCCAGCCTATGTGTTAAACAGGCAAGATGTTCATCGGTGCAGTTCCCATTCGCAGACTACGCCTTGCCATTGTTATCACTGACATGACTCCCGTGGAATAAGTCCCAAGGAACCTATGCTTGTCGTACGAGGCGACTTATGGGATCGTGTGGTCAGGCTCATCGACTTGGCTGACTGCGTTTCATGGTACCCTGACGGCGTGGATCGTTGATCATATCAATCATGTGTCCTGGATTGTCTGGTTCAGACTTACGGCGTGAGGCAACAAAAGGAACATCACAGTGTGTGAAAGCTGAGCTATGTATCCCTGTATTTGAGGTAATCTCTACTCTTCTGATTGATATGGATAATATAATTACGCTTGGTATACAAACAAAAGTGGTGACAATCAATCAAACTTGCCAGGACGTCTTTATGCCTTCATTTCAGAGACCGTCAAGATGAGGCACGTCGTATCTGTTGTTCTGATTGCTGCCGTACTGGTTATGGCCCAAGCCACCTATCCTGCACCCCTCCCAAACAGACCAGCTCCTCGCAGACACGTTATCAGAGGAGGAGGAGGCCGCCATCCGTTCCTTCCCGACATCCATGTTATAGTCAATGCAAACCAGCGTATGCATAACAATAATAATGCTGGAGGGGGTCGTTATCCCCGTCTGCCGTATCCGAATGGCGACTTTGGTACTGGAGGTAATGTGGCTTTTGTTGGCACTGGTCAGGGTGGAGCTGTACCATCAAGACCAGACTTCTCACAGCCAAAACTGTTTGGGTAACATGAGGTATGTACTGCCGTTACTGATAATGAAATATTCAAGATGTCCTATGCAATTCCCTATTTTGACTTCCTACATAGGTTCCCATGTTTGCACAGTTGAACACTTGACTTGCCTTTGCATGTTTTTCTGACGGGTGGCCCCGGTAGGGAAGGATACATTTACCTTTTCGCGAAAATTTGGTATCATCATTAATTGACATTGATTCATATGATTAGCCACAATCGTTCATCCACAATGGACCTTTTTTGACATTTGGTCATTTCTTATGATTCCCGAAATGATTTAGTATTTTTATTAATTAAAATGTTACGAATAAAGTCGGGTAAGTGTTTATTGCGTAACACCGCATCAGTCGTGCGGCTGTAAACGGTAGGAATCATGTGATTATTTCCTGTAAATGCCACAAAAGAAATGGTAGACTGGCGTCCTTTAGCACAGAAGGACGTTTTCTCTCGCTAAATATCATCTCACATTGGTTGATACTGAAACAAAAGGGATAGTTTTGGTTTGTACTAAAACAAAAGGGATAGTTTAGATATGCAACTTCTTTACAGCAATAGAATTCATAGAGTTATCTCCCCTGTTCATCATACAAACATCTATATGCCACTTAAAGAAGTTGGTTTGTACGTATTAGGAAATGACACCATGTTATAAACCACATGTGTTAAACCCTTGTAAGGAGACCGACAGCGATCATTCCTCCTGTTATGGACACATAAAGCTCGTTATTTTGTACGTGCTTTTGTATTAACTGCTGTGAGAAAATATGCCAGGCTAGTGTTAGGTAATTTAACAAACATCCTAGATTTGACCGATCATCACTCTTATTTTCCTATTGTATCTAAGAAGAGTTAGAAAGTTAAGTGAATAAGTGACTGAGTTTATGCCGATTTGAATATTATTCACTTACTGGGTATGATTTTTCTGTGTTAACTTACATACTTTTCAGTGTGAAAACATTTGTTGTGTATATACATATAGATTGTACTTGAATGAAAAAGTCATTACCATGTGTCATTGTTCAATGCAAAACTAATGTTGGCCGAGGGGTATTTGTGTAATCAAATATCTCTCTCTATGACCACGAAGCTATCGTAGGGTTAAGATGACCGTAACTACCATATTTATGATTACGTCTGTCGTGGCGTTGTGATCCCTCTTGGAAGCGGGACACTCAACAGTTTACTATAACTCCTCTATATTGTTTTAAATCAAACACTATTAAAGCATTATCAATTTTTTTCAGAGTTTAGAAGTCTTGATCTTTGACCTACAACAGCATCACGTACTACTGAAACAGTGCCGCAGTGAAGTATTTTGACAGATATGATGCATTTAATGCATTTTACTTCAAGATAAAAAAATATCAACAAAATACATTGTTGGCTTTATTATCTCACACACTGGAATCCCAAAAGGCTCTCGGTATGTACACCATGTGTTCGTGCATTTCCAACGCTTATCGATGGTCCAGTTGCCCTAGTTGTCCGTGCAGGGTTGCATCTCTGTATCAAATATTGACAGTAGCGGGTGACCTCGCCAAACTGACTGTCGTTCATTTCACGATGAACGTCAGTATGCCACGTGATTACGTTGTCAATCGAGCGGAGACATACAGAACTACTATAGGGGAATTCCTCAATGTTTAAAAATAACATTAAAAATATTACCGTAAATTGAGAGGGACATCGATTCAGGCTATGAATGACGCAGGCTTTGAAGCCAGACAGATCATGTATATGTCGGGTCACCGAAATGAAACGTCTATTCGAAGCTACAACAGAGAATGCTCGACTTACCAAAAGAAATCCCTGAGCTCCACACTGTCGTGTATTGCTTCGGTAAATCCAACCGCGCCGCCTCTAGCGGTAATCCCCGTCATCAGCAGCCATAGTATGACTCAAACACACACTCAAAGTTCACAGAACATCAATCCATTTTCAGCATCATCCTGGTCTGTATTTCTTTCCAACGCTAACTTTGCTGGGTGCAATTTTATATCAAGCGAATGACATTGCCGTAGCCGCCATTTTCTGCCGTTAGTAAAACCAAGGGATGTCACTCCAAATGGTATGTTTGGGATGGATGACGGCACGACTCTCCGCTTTGATAAAGTTCGCCTTAGATAATTACATTTTGATGTATAATGTATTGTTTTGTTATGATTTACGTATCTGTCAAAATAAGGATTGAAGTTGTATTTGTTGACGTTCATGATCATCAGCTGATGAAGACAGTGCCTCACGTAAGCAAATCTACCTTGAAGCGCCTCGCGCATCATGGAATTTGCTCACGCGAGGCACTGTCTTCATCAGCTGATGAACATCAACAAATACAACTTCAATCCTTAAATGAACATATATTCGAGTACCAGGTTCGTCCAGCTTAGGATTCTGGGTTTGTCAGCACAATACCCGCTCTCGTAGTTCTGCATCAGGCTTTCCTCCTACATTGAGCTGACGCCGTGCAATAACTAAATAGTGCCCAAAGCCGTGCTAAGCCAAACTAACTAACTCATACTTTTGATAATATAACTCCTGCCAGCTTCAAGAAATAAAACCTAAATTACTATTGTAGTGTGAGTTTATATTGTAGCCGGTGGTTGGTAGTGTGTGTACACGTCCAAGTGGGTGAGTGAGTGAGTTAAGATGAATAATCACTTACACGTCCAAGGATGTGACCAGGTATATTACCCAACGTTGTAAGTTATTCATAAGAACAAGATCATCAAGTCACAATATTTCTCAACGAACAAAAGGAGTACGAGCCAAGTACTACACAGATGAGTTTAATATTGTCATACAAATGGATGTGTGCGTGTGTGTGGTGTTGATATTGATTACTGGCTACTGTAGATCATATAGATTCTTAGAACCCTCTTAGAAGACAATTTTGTTGAACATTAACTCATCGCAGTCTCAATTGTTTACAAAAAACAGCTGAAAATTAAGCATGTAAACAAATCGAGAAGTTCATGAGGAAAACTGATAAACAGAAGGGGATGCACGTCCATTTATTTAAAAAAAAAAGTTTTTTGAGTGGGGTTATTGTTCACGCCGCATCACATTTAGATTCAGATGCGTTTATTACTCAATAAGCCAACAATGGTGGCACAAGAGCATGATATGTGACAGATAACAGGCGTGTGTGAGTGGGTGGGGGAGGGGAGTCGTAGTAGGCGCCGTAATTCTGTGCAGAGTTGCGTCCCATGGGATCGCCAGAAACGTATGACTGTGGGTTGGAATCTCGGTTTGTCCCGATTATGTTTCCAGGTTATAAGCATCCGTGATGGTGATGGTGGGTTTAACCTGAGTGATAAACATCCGAGACTTGCATCACTTCGGGCTTTCCTCAAACATTAAGCTGACGCGCCCTGATATAACTGGAATACTGTTCAAAGCGGCGTTCAACCGAAGCCATTCACTTTCAAGGTTACTGGAAGAGATGAACATGACAGCTAACGTGAAACGTGTTTGGTCAGTGTATTCCTGCGGTATATATTTTGTTGGTTGGGCACTCAGCAGCATTCCATCTCTATGACGGTGTCTAATAATCAAGTCTGGACCAGACAATCCAGTGATTGGTATTACGAGCTAAGTTTCGCGCCGTCAATTATAGTTGGAAAACGTTGGATAACAAGCTTTCCAATGACACCGAATACATCTTGTTATTCACCCGGTAGACACATCTAAGGGGGTGGGGGCTTTACATGAATCCTCAGGTCGAACAGTCGTAGACCCGAGATTCATAATGAACGTTCCCTAGATTTACCTCACAAAATTCCTGATGGTGTCTTCGAACATTTTGAGTTTTCTCCCGAAGCCGACCTCTTCTGTCAAAGATCTTTCTGATGATCCCTTGTATTTCGTGTATGCCATTCTATTACCAAATCTGTGTTTTACAGATTGGTTGGTTGGCTTGTTGTTTAACGCCGCACTCAGTAATATTCCAGCTATATGACGGCGGTCTGTAAATTATCGAGTCTGGACCAGACAATCCAGTGATTGATATCATGAGCATCAATCCACGCAATTGGGATCGATGACACGCATCAACCAAGTTTCCGATTGAGAAACCGGGGACAATTAAAAAATTTAACCATTCATTTCCACAGAATCAACATAATAAATGAAATGAAATTATTTCTGTAACTCTTAATGCGGACTGTTCTTTGCATGACATAAACTGTTGCGTGTATGCTGCTGCTTGAACACTGGAGCAGCCCCATACGTTTTCCAAAAAACAAAAAAAACACAAACGGGTAATAACCAAAATCATCAAAAGAAAATAAATGAAACAAGGAAAGCTATATCCTGGATAGAACTTTGCTTGACATTACTTTTCTCATTAAGTATATTAGGCCCTCTATATTTTCCTTTTTCATCAATGAACTTGTTGCAATATCGAGTAATGACTGCTCCCTATCATATTACAATAACCCAGTACAATAGCTGATCCTTGTACATCCGGGCTTTTTAAGATCATGGCCTCCGAGAGTAAATGTGTCAAGTCAGACCTTCTTCTTGTTTATCTGTAATTAGTGTTTGGATAACACGGGATATTGAAACAGAACTGTCGAATGATGTTTGATCACATGGAAAACACGGCGTACAATTATTTCCAGACTTGTTTGAAATATAATTATTATTATTTGCCGATGATGCTATTCTTGTCTCTGACGCGGTAACTGGTTTACATAACCAACTTTATATTTTTGTAAGTTTGCAGATTCACACGGATTAACGCTAAATTTAGATAAAACGAGTGTTGTATTTAGACGAGGAGAGCAGTTATTTGTTAATCAGAAATGGTTCTATAAAGGCAAACTTGCTTCAACCGCCAACTCCTATAGATATCTTGGGTCTGTATTCTCATATGTATCAAAGATGAACCAGTTTGTTTCAGATCTAGCATCAAGAGGTAAACGAGCTTTAATTGAAATATTTCGCAATCTACGAAAGATTGGTTTTGATGACACCATCGTTTTCTTTAAACTATTCGATACTCAGATTCAACCTATTCTTTTATATGGTGCGGAAATATGGGGTGTAGACAGATTTGAAAAAATAGAACCAGTGCATATTATGGCTTGTAAGAAGTTTCTTAAACACCAAATCCTATTGTGTATGGGGAATGCGGTCGATGCCCAATATATTTAAATGCTATGTCTCGTTCTGTAAAGTATTGGCTAAAAGTGATTGAAATGGGCAAAGATAGGATACCAAGAAAATCTTATAATATGCTTGTATATAACCATAAGTTTGGCCATCATAACTGTGCTTCTTCTATTCGTTCCATATTATTAGTGGAGTAGTTTGGCTCAATCAAGCTGTTGGCGACAAATCATTATTCATTTATAGTTTTAAAAACTTTTTGATAAAAATGTTCTACCAATCATGGAATAGTTCTAGCAAGGCTAGTTCTATGTACATCCTGTATAAAGAATTTTAAAGTCTCATGGAACCAGCGAAATACCTTTCCATTATTGCTGAAATAAAGTATCGAAATGTTGTGATAAGGCTACGAAGGAAGGTAGAAGAGCTGATATTGATGTACGTTTACGGCTCTGCCCCATATGTGAAACAAGTATAGAGAATGAATATCATTTTACTTTAGAATGTGAATATTACAACGATATTAGACAACTGTATTTACCAACAACTTTTTACCATAATCCAAATATGCATAAATTTAAAATACTGTCATCCTCATGAAAACAATTTCTTGGAAAACTATCTTAATACCTGTATTACAGTTATGAAAGAAGACGTAATTATGAAAAGCCTATAAATCTGTAAATTTGCACCTGACATTACCTTTTTTGCATGTTCCACAATATTCCAAATGTATGTATATTATATGTTCCCGTGACCGTAGTACAAATTAAGACTTCTTCAGGTCAATCAATGTTAAGACGCTAAAAGACAACCTGGAGAATTTAAAAGCAAAATACAAGACAACAAAAGAAAACATTCTAAATCAAATTTTTGATTCATTGAAGGCAAAGTTAAAGGTTTGGACAGAAAGAAAGTTGGATAAGAAAAATAATTACATAAAACAAAATAGACTGTTGAAATCTTATCAAAAACAGTTTTACAGGCAAGTGTTACTAAAGTGTTCAATGAATTCCTGGTCAAATCAACTTGAGAGATGTATTCTCAGGGGCAGGTACCGGTGGTGACTTCGGAACCCATTTCTTTTAGAAGAGGAACATTTTAGGGAGATTCTTTTCGTCCTCCGCTTTTCTGTTTGTAATTAAATCATTTTTGCTCAGTATCCTGGACCTCCCCAGCACACATCCCCAACACCCCTTACAAGGATGACCTTGGACTTATTGCCAGGATCCACATTAAAAAAAAGATAAACAAACATGGGAACTGAACCGAAAAGGAAAACCCAACGAATACAAAGGAAATCCACATGAAGAATTTCAATATATCATGATCATAAATTTCGTGTAGCCAGTTATCTAATCGTACAACTTAATAATTGCGTACCCGTGGGGATAGAACGTGAATAGACCCTGCTCGTCAAGAGATTTGTACAGTTTTCAGGTAGTCAGCCTTAGTGAGTTTAAATTGCCCTTACAGCTAGCTATAGGGACGTTGCAGATATAGATCGCTGGTTTGTCTTTTCCAACATTTGAATTATGCTAATGAGCCGATTCTTCAGAGAATCAGCCTCATTGGGCTCGTTGTTAGAGCTTCTGCCCGGAGAGGGGAAGGTCGGTGGTTCTATGCCTGGCAAAGAGAAGAAAGATAGTACGTGTAACCATGTCTGTCCCTCGGGATTAAGAAGATAAAAGGACCTGGTCGGCACAGTGTCAGTATGTTGTGTGCGAGTAAAGAGCGAGTTGTTTTTTTTAAGACACATCGGCAATATTTCAGCCTTTCGTGACTTGCCTGAGTGGTATCCATGTGGGGTAAACCGTCATACACCGGACTAGTCCAACCAGCCACACACACAGACACACATGCATGTACCGCACAAACATATGCAATAATCGTGAACGCGACGTTAAAACACATGCCACCTCTCCAACTCGTGTTCTTTATTTTAACTCAAAACAAACGCGGCAGACTTTGGACCCTCTTTTCTCCAGAATCCCTTCGGGGCTTAAAAAACGTCATGATGAAACTTAATGTTTTGAACAAATTTGCCATGTTAAAGTATTGTCGCCTATGGCATTTCCGTCAGCAAATTCATTAGGTGTCACAGCATGATTAAGTGTCTTATGTAATTATGGATAAACATGCGTGAAGTATCCATGAAGGATCAACCTGTAACTACTGCACATAAAAGTGTTCGTAAAAGAGACTTTGACTTTGTTTAAGATTATGTAAACAATGTTCTTTAAATGTTGTCGAAGATGAATTTCATTTTCTACTTGTATGTTGTAAATATGATAATTTAAGGAAAAAATATATTGAACAGAAATACTATGTACATCCAAATAAATACAAGTTTATCTCTTTAATTTCACATGTGAGCAAAACGGCTATACAAAATCTCTCTCTATATATATATCATGCCATGTTATTAAGAAATGAATCCTTGTAACATTCCTAACCGCTTCCACATTGTCATGTATTCTGTACTATGGGCCTGTGGCCTTACAGTTATATATGAATAAACTGATTGACTTTGATGAAGTGCATAAATACTATCTCCAAGTGTCTACGTACTAAATGAACGGAGGTCCATTGAGACCATATTTTTTTAATTTGCTTGAAACAAGATAACATTTTGATGTTTCACAAATGGTAATATCCAATAAACTATATTATTTACACCATCAATGGCAGTATATTTTAGGCAGAACACTTAACGAACAAACACCTTGAGAGCATATTGTAAGCTTCAACATGAGAACATGTGACTTCATATTGAAACTGAACAACGAATACAATTAAAATGTCAATATACAGTAAGTTCAGCACAATTAACTCGTTCCAACAACTAAGAACATGCAGTCCCAGCCAAACCTAATCATTATTATGAGCTGATATCGAGACTGCCCTTCTGGAACGACGATTCACTGGATGTATTGCCAACCTTTGGTACTTATGTTCGATTTTGTTCGTTTGTTTGTAGCTTAACGCCGAACTCAGCAATAATGTAGGCGGTCTGTAAATAATCGAGTCTGGACAATCCAGTGATCATGATCATCGATCTATGCCATTGGGATACGATGACATGTAACAACCAAGTCAGCGAACCTGACCACCCGATGCCGTTAGTCGCCTCTTTCGACGAGCAGAGTCGCCTCTTACAGCAAGCATGGGTTGCTGAAGTCCTATTCTCTACCCGGATCTTCACGGGTCCACATATGTTTGACTGTTACTTTCGTCCATGTTCGTCAACCAAGAGTAGATTCCCTCATAGTGAATCCAGCACTGGCCCATGTACGTTTCCACGAGCCTTATATATCTGTATTTAAGCGCTCATATTATGACTCTAATTTGGTTCCTAGACAATGTGTAGGCGAGGGGCGGTCGGGTAGCCTCGTGGTTAAAGCGTTCGCTCGTCACGACGAAAACCCGGGTTCGATGCCCGATGGGTACAATGTGTGAATGTGTTACCTATGTACTACTAGTGTACAGAGTAACACTGACGAGTGCGGCGTTAAACAACAACAACAAAAAACAAACAAGAAAGAGCATGCTCAATTGTATCTCAAAAGTTGTGAAATGTAAACACCGAAATCTGGAGCTGCAATCTTGGATCGATATGAGAGTTGTAACCATCTGGTTACAATCATCACCCAATTACTTACACGTCGCTTTTGGGGCGGTCGGGTAGCCTCGTCGTTAAAGCGTTCGCTCGTCAAGACAAACCGGGTTCGATTCCCGACATGGGTACAATGTGTGAAGCCGCCGTGAAATTGCTGGACTATTGCTAAAAGTGGCGTAAAACGTCACTCACTCACTAATGTGTGGGCGTCTTTATAATGTCTTCTTTGCTTTGAAACTTGCCACCTTTATAGAAATGGCCATGAGTAAGGGTAGACAAGTTAAACATGAAGTAGTATAAAAAAGACCTATTCAAGTCAGTTTGCAAATTGGTCCATGAAATATAGCGCATCTTTTCAGTTTCACCATATTGTATCCGGTATTCATCCCACATGCTCAGCACGACATTACGTTTTGTAATAGATCTATTAGATTTTGTTCCCTACTGCCGATAAACACAATATTCAAGGTATGTTTGACAATTTATTAGGTCAAAGGAAAGGCTGATGTCAGATATATATATATAAGCACACAAATCACTCACAGTGGAACATATTCAATATATATCAAACTAGACAAAATGAACCATATGTAGACAACAATATGAACCACAATAAACATGTTAAAAGCTTGCTATTCAAACACATATTCACAATTTATGAAACCAACTAACTTGTGTCAGATAGTTTTAACTCTGCTGTCCGCTTACATCGGTGTACAGTGTAACTTTAATAATGTAACTTTGACACTGATTATTTTCTTGCGGGTATGTCTTGTGCAATAGAGCTTAAGATCGTTATGTCAAACGTGCCCTTTGTATTCCACATATTGATAGCTTGGCCAACACAATGACTGAGTATCCATATCCATCATAAGATTTTTTTTCTTGATAATGTAGGACCATGTAACAATAGCGATGTGTATAAATTTCTTGGCAGCAGCAGTAGACGTCACCCTGTACATCATCGCAGACTCGTGAGTATACGATTTAATTTGTAAACAGATAAGGGAAGCATATAAGAGTGAAACGTTGAATCTTGGGAATATTGATGAGTGCGCTTATATTAAACAATATAAAAACACATACCTTTATTAACAATGGGAACCAGACACATAAATGTATTTTTCATATTATCAATTTCAATTTCTTTATTAACTCAAACCACCGGCCGGTAGTATATGAGCAACATAATAACATACATATATACAAAAATACAATGTGATCAAATGGCAACAGTGGTTTACTTTAGTGCAGAAAGTAATATTTTTACAAATTTAGACAGTTTTTTAAGATTGTAAGTTCTCATATTTGACATCAAATGCGTAAGGAAATAATGTTTGACAAGTTTAGATATCTATTATCAATTAATGTTTTTCTTTGCTGGTCAAAATATTCACATCTAAAGAGGTAGTGGAACTCGTCGACTATGGCTGGGGAGGTACAAAGCTTACATGTGCGATATTCGCGTGGGATGCCCTCCCAGCGGCCAGTCTCAATCGGTAAATTATTATTTAGGGTTCTGAATTTTAAAATTGGAGTAAAGAAAATTTTATAACAGGTCGATTATTACTTATATGGTTGTGCCAAAACGAGATTGTTCTCTTATATATTAGTATACTTATTGGAAATCTCTCAAATATAACATATACAACATATAATCTGGTGTTGAGTTTCTAAGATTGAAGGCAAGTTTAATGAATTTCAAATGTACTCTTTCCATTACTGAATGGTTTTCGTATCCCAAAGTTTCACAACCATAGGTTAGCATAGGCAATATCAATGTTTTGATCAACTTACTGAAAATGTCAGTAACCCGTCCGTCAATCAACAAACATGCAGTATTGAGGTCCCGCCGGTGGAATGCTACTTTCTTTCTTTCTTTGGTTTGGTGACAGAATCCACACTGTACTAGGCGTGCTGTGTGGACAAGGACATAAGATAGATCATTACAATGTTGACGGAGGAAAACTGCACTGTGAATGTGACGATAGATTGATTTCATTACATTCTTTTGACAGAAACACCAATCATGAAGTCCTTGGCTGTTGCACTCTGTTTGGTCCTGTTGGTGGCGATGGCCTCCGCCACATACGGAGGATACGGAGGATACGGTGGATACGGAGGATACGGAGGATACGGAGGATACGGAGGAAACAACATTGATAACAACCAATACCCCAAGCAGGTAGCCAATATCAATCAACAACAGTCCAACAAGCAACGTGGTGATCAAGATATCTTTAATCGCCGTTTCTATGGCTATGGCGGCTATGGCGGCTATGGCGGCAAGGGCTATGGGTATTAGGTTGGTTCATGTACATTGCCAGTAATGCCGGACTATAAGCATTGCGTATGTGTTTTGTTTGACGTTAATTAATAAAACATTGATCTGCACCTTTACGAAGTATTTATTATACATAGACAAACACATGTTCTATCGGATTGTTTTCCAACGAAATGTACCAGTACGTAGCGTAACTAGTGACTTCAACTTTGCATTTAGAGATTCTCAACATCATTTGCTTACGCCTGCTATAGGCTTTGTTAAACTTTCAACATGGAATAATCTCGGGCAATTTGGCAGTCATATAATTATATACTCACAACTAGTAAATATCAACGAACAGTAGTTATACAGTGTGTGTGTGTGTGTGTGTGTGTGTGTGTGTGTGTGTGTGTGTGCTTGCGTGCGTGCGTTTATAATGAGATCGTAAATTTGAAGGCACTTTTAGAATTATGAATACTGGGATTATCGGTGATAGGTTTCAGCACATTGCGCCTGATTCACCACTGATCTCAGTACAGACTGTATATATTACAGTCAATATGTAAAATCAGTCAATTTGTAACATGACTGAACGTTTCAGAATATTTGACACATTGACCAAAACTTACAATTGAAAGAAAAAGTCATTAATTAATCTCTATAAATATCTTTATTTACATGACATGTGATATTAATTGACACTGTACTTCTTTGATGCAACAACATGCATTTGTAAAAGGGATCACTGAGAACACATGAACTAGTTCCTGCTTGGACAGGTAATGTTGAGATAACATCTGCTGTTACATTTTAGTCCATCTTTGAAGCATTTACAGTTGTTTGTCCTGCACTGTTTACAACTTTTACAACAGTAAGATTTGGCATGACCTTGTCCGAAACACTTTGACTCTTCTTGAACACCTTGTCTGAGTCCAACTTCGTTGTTTTCACCAATATCATTGATGCTGTACAGTTTATGAGTACATATCGGAGGTAAACATTCTTTATGCAGGTGTTATTAGGTATTTGATGTCGGGAAAATTTATCTTTAACGGACAGCCTGACGCTTGGGTTTCAAATGTTAAAATTGACAAACACCACGGTGAGTCATAAGTAAATCGACCCGGGAAGATCCGGGGAAGTTTAGGTCTTCCGCAACCCATGCTCGGGTGGCCAGGCTTGCTGACTTGTTTGATGCGTGTCATCGTATCCCAATCGATGCTCATGATGTCAATCACTGAATTGTCTAATCCAGACTCAATTATTTACAGACCTCCGTCAAATAGCTGAAATATTGTTGAGCGCGGCGTTAAACAACAAACAAACATGAGTAAATTACATATTCCCCCGGTTCGAGCATCTTATTCTAAGCGCAACACGAAACAGCCGCTCCGTTTACTTCAGTCTTTTCAATATTTCCTTTCAAACCTGAGTAAGCAAGCAAATCATGTCAACATATTAAAAACTGCATATAGGCATGAACACACGATGCCATATAGAAAGTGGTCAAATGTAACAAATGTTATATTTGGATTTTGACTCACAAAAGTACAAGAGTCTGTACTGAGGAAGTGTTTCCCCAATATAACATTTGTTACGTTTGACCACTTTCTAAATGGTATTGTGTTTATAGCTTTCGGCGATGGGAGCACTGAACATTTTACATTTGTCAGAGGGGTACACAAAGTGAGTGAGTGAGTTATTTTTTAACGTCACATTGGCAATATTTCAGCCATATAGTGACGAGACAAAGTTTGACTTTAATAATATATATGTAAACTGTATAATATCCCGTCGACGAAGGACAGTAAAACAACCAGATTATCATAGATATAGGTATAAAAACTAGTGTATAAACATAAAATATAACTATTCATAACAAGACAATATAAACAATTGGGCTATATATCACCATCAACTAAAGTGATCCACCATACATATGGGGACTTACAGTACCTTTGCTACCTGCATGGACCCCAGCAGGATTTGCACCTTCCCTTTAGTCCCTGGTGATACTTGACAGGGTTTAGACGGAGATTTAAATCAAACAAATATTCTACGATTTAGACACTGGTAGAAAAAACACTTTTAGGCTTACATACCCTCTTAGGGGAACAATAATTTTACGCTACTTCAACCCCCTTCGAGGATAAAACCACTAACAATCTCAGTTAATAATCATATACTACCAATTGATAAAATATACAACTTTCTTCATCAAAATTTATCAATTTATTCTTTTTCATTAAAAAAACGATGATTAAATGAGCAGGTATTTGATAAAAAAAGATCCTTTATAGATGACACTTACTTTGAAATATTTATCCCTTGTGATGGCAAAATCAATACAGTCAATCAGGACACGCTTGAAATTGATTCTCTCATCACAAGGGATACAAAATGGAGGATCCTCACCTTTCAATATGTATTCTGGAGTATACCTGCTATGGCCAATACGACATCGTCACATGATGACTTCTTTAAATCTGGACTGACAACCCATGTAGTTGGGTTTATTTCATGTAACTTATCTATACCAACCTGGATGTCCCACTTCTTTTGCATTAGATCTCGGATGTAACATCTAATAACTTGCTTATAATCACTGTATGGGATCAGAAGTTGTGTCACATGTTTTTTTAGTGCTGCTTTTGCAGCAGCATCGGCCATTGCGTTACCAATGATTTCAACATGGCTTGGTAATAAACAAAATACGATGTCGACTTGACCAGTGGCAAGATCATTATGTACAACAATTTGGAGTATAAGTGGATGCTTTCATGATATATTTTCAATATCCTGAAGGCACGAAAGAGAATCTGAAAAAAACATGAACTGTTGATATTTAGATTGGTTATTGATATATTGAGAGCTGTTAAATTGGCATTCACTTCCATCAGGTAATCTGGAAGATATTGTTCTGGAGCTTATGATGGTGGCACTAGCAACTGCGCCAACATCCTTTGATCCATCTGTAAAACTAGATTTGTAAGTATCATATGTTGGTAAAGAAGTTGTGACAGATTTCTGGCGTTTAGTTAAAGTTAGGTCTACCTCTGGATTTACTGACTGCCAAGGAGGAGAAGCAAGAAGCTGGGTTGGGGCTACAGTGTCAAGATTTATTTCTGAAGCAAGAGATATAAATGGGTTAATTCTTCTTCCCAGAGGTGGAACAAGCGATGATTTCTTTTCGTAGAGGTCCCCATAAAGGAGGTTAAATATTTAATGCAGTCAAATCCTGGGATAGATTGTCGGAACATAATTTAGTCAGATATTGTAAGCATAATTTCATACGACGTTGTTTAAATGATGGCTCATCGGCCTCCACATATTAACTATCAGTAGGCGATGTTCAGACAGACAGACATACAGACAGACAGGTTTATTCAGTATTGTGGAAATATGGCCTAAAGTAAACCAGATACTAACTCATATGATGTCGCATGCATATACAAAAATTACATCTTCTTCAATCTGATAGTAAAAACATGCTTTTTATAAGTAGCCACTGAAAAGATAACGTGTTTATTTTGTGAGTTGATAACATTTATCATTAACATTTCAGATTTATAGTCATTCCTCAAGAAAGGAAGACATGTAGATCTCAACTTGGAATACTTGTTACACTTGTAAGACATGTAAATCATCTACAATTTCACCTCTATAATAATATGCACAAACACTGTTAACAACATCAATATATTTCAATTTACGGCACATATTTACATTGAAATTATGAAATGAGATTCTAAATTTACAAAACGATGTTATTAATCACTTGTCTGGTAAGAGAGATAAATACATGTCCTGTTGAAGTTGCGACTTTAGTTTACTATAATTGCTAAGATAATGCGAAGATGAAACAGTTTTGTACCAGTTTTGTGCAAATATATCTTTCACTCGCTGCTTAAATATTCCCTTAAACACTTGAATGTTACCAATTTCCTGTGCAATCCACACAAAAGAAAAAACAAAACATGTAAATAACAGATTTCTTACTTCAGATACACAGTCATGTTTACCTTTATCATTCAGCTTCTTTAACAATATATAACATTGAAGAGGATATTCAATGCACAAACATATTGCAGCGTTTCACCAATAATTGCTTTATTTGAGGCATATTTACCAATACTCAAAAACGCTTGAAGTGTAAGGTATGTACTTTTTCGATGGCAGCATAATATTTTGTTGCCCATATTTCCGAACCATATAGTAATATAGGTGCAGTTTTACAATCAAAACTATTGCATGCTGTTGAAAATCATATATATATAAACAATTTATACACAGATCCACATGCTTTTGAAGCTTGAAAAGCAAGTTGTTTAGATGCTACTGACCACATTAATTTAGAAGAAAACATGATACCCAAATATTTATAGTAAGTTTCAATCTTCACCGAAGCATTTCCATAAGTCCATTAGTCCATTTTTTCCTTTGAAAAACTAGACCGCCATTTCTAAAGACAAGTATGTTTGTTTACTAAAATTTACCTCCAGTCCCCATTTCAAGCAAAACGATTGTAATACATTTAATTGTTTTAGTAAACCTCTTACTGCAAATGAAAACATTACAATATAATCAGCAAACAATAGCTTCATAATATCAACAATATCTTGATGCAAAAATAGACCATCATTACGTTGTTTATGAATTTCAATAACAAGTTCATTGATATAGAAAATGAACCAAACAGTACTGAAAATACACCCCTGTCTTACACCTCTGGATCTTGCAAAACAGTTTGTATTTCCCTTGTCAGTCATTAAACATGCTTTTACTAATGAAAACCTACCAGCAGAACATTAAACATGTTCCCATGACAACCCTTGATAACAAGTAAATACAATAACTTTTGCCTATTCACAAAATCGAAGGCTTTCTTTAAATAAAATCAACGAAAGCACAGTAAAACGGCCCTTCGATTTGCATATATATTTCGACCACACTGACTGTAAAATGTACATATTATATATGGTTAGTTAGAGCGAAAACCAAATTGAGATTCCGATATATAATCATTAATTTCCATCCATATTCTCAACCTTTTTTCTAACACAAAAATAAATAACTTGCCAGTAACATATAAAAGAGAAATACCTGTCATTATTTGGGTTCCGCCTTT